ATTTTCAAATATTGTCCGATCATAACAAACCATACAAACTACATGATGTATACATCTCCATTTCGAGAAATTGACCCTTTCGACTGGTTTTGTGCTCCAGGGTCACACACACCATATATATATATATATATACTGTAAACATATATACTGTTCTACAGATAATTGTCTTCAAATCTGAAAATCCTCCCGAATGTTCTTACAGTTTGATCGATTTATGTCAAGGCTGTTCATCTGGTGCACTTTTAGATGTTCTCTGAATCCACAGGTGTTTTTTCCCCCTCTCTTCAGTGTTTTTTCCTTCTGCGCAGCTTTGTCTTTGTCTCTCAGTGCTGTTTCCTTTCTCTGCTTTTCTTTTTCTTCAGCTGCGTTTTGTTCTCTCCCTGGCATCTCTTTTAGTTTTCTTGTCATCCTACCTTTGCAGAAAGCATAACAATGCATCACTATTAAAGAGAAACCAGGCCATGACTGAACAAACATTAGTATGACAGCATAATCATAGAGAAAAGAAAACCAGTGCAGGACAAAAATTGTCATTCACCTGGAAAACATACTGAACATTGAACTGTGAGATATCATTAAATGAAGAAGAAATATTTAACATTCTTCACTAGTCATCTAGAATTGATCAGGTGTACATAAATGAGTGATTATTGATTATGTGAACGCCTAAAAAGTGTCGTAATTGCACCGAAGAATGCAAGATGATGTTTGAAACATTTTCAAATCAAAGCACAGGAGTGACATATTAAGACATTCTCAAATAAATAGACATTTTCCTTCTTTCTCAGACCTGCAATAGAACTGTCTCAGAACTATTCTAATGTGAATGCAATGTAGAAATGCACAAATTCCATGCATCCATCTGACTCTCACCTAGATCCAGATCTGGAAATATTTATTCCTTTTTCAGTTTTTTGTTTCAATCCTTGAAGCAGTCAGCTACTAAAGCGTCAAGCCTCCAGTAATCACAGCAAAGAACAGCAGGAAGTGACCGAGTAAACATCTCAAACAGCTTTTATGATGCATGAAGCTACCGGAGAATGCGCCCGAACCGGTTTTTAGCCTCTTTTCTTTCTTTCTTTTAATGTTATATTCATTACAATAACTAATGATGCAAATCTCTGATGGTGAGGTCTCATAAAACTGTTTACAGCAGCAATAAAGACAATACCATATTAGGTCACCAGTGAGTCCACTGCTTCTTTAAAGCAAATATAATAGAGCACATCAAAAACTGTGTATTTACATTCAGTTTGTTGCATTAGAGGAAGATTTCCTTTCAAACTGCATGATACTCCAGATCTCAGGGTTACTCGGTGGGGGATTCAGTGTCGAGGTTTTTCGTTTTGCACTGATTCTGGACCAGATCTTTTGATGGCTGGAATCCAACAACTAAATCTGTGCTAAAGTGAGCATTAAACAATCTTTTCATATGCTGTAACTAACTCAGCAGCATCACTAAGGTCCATACGCAAAACTTGTTTATAATTTTATAACCATTACAAATCCTGAGGCACAAGAGCCAAATGAAGTCTAGGAAACAGTGCGTATAAATGGCATGATAATTCAAAACAGTCATCCATTAACTACAGTATAAGCATCTCAGAACTGTTCTGAGAAATGTCA